TTTATTCCAAATTTTCAGTATTTCTTAAAATATAATTTAATATAAAAAAACGCCGCAGGCGAAAATTTGGAATGAAAGCTAAACGGCGACGCCTGGAAAACTGAACATTTAAAACAATTGTTATGGAAAGGGAAAACCATGCTCCCAAAGAATACTTAGCCAATATAGCTAAGCATCTCAATTAATATAAGTAGTTAATGATTGTTTGTAAATACTTACTAATTAAAATTTTTTAAATAAATTCCGGTACACTGAAATTGTTTTGATGAAGAAGGTTAGGGGTGGATTCGGGATTTTTTTAGAAAAGTATTCCCCAGTATTTTTCCCACAGTATTTTTGCGCAGATCTCTCTGCGAGCCTAACTACGACTTAAGAGACACGATTTTGATTTGCAAAAATTTTATACCGACATTTTTTCCCCTCATGTCTGTATTTTGATTTGTCAGTATTTTGATTTGTCAGTATTTTGATTTGTCTGTATTTTGATTTGTCGGTATTTTGATTTGTCTGGATTTTGATTTGCCGGTATTTTGATTTGTCTGTATTTTGATTTTTCTGCATTTTTAAATTTTGTCTTTATTTTGATATGTCTGGATTTTGAATTTCCGGATTATGAATGTAACCGAAAAACAAAACAAATCACAATACTTTAAAAAAGAGTGGTACCACTTTTACGGCGTATAACTGTTTCACCAAAAATTTTATGGTTTAATTTTTACCAAGCCGGGTAAGTCTTCATCTTGGATTTCCTTACTTTTGTGTTCTTCGAATGTGGGCATATTAAGTAACGAACTTATATAATGAATTCTCTCTTTCCATTTTAAGAACAAATACTTCTCTTCGAATATTTCCGTGTATTCACAGCTATATTTCTTTAACAGGCATATGTGGTTTTGTTGTCCATTAATTACGTATAATCCAAATTTACACAGCTCTTCTAGGTACATAATTGGCATAGGATTGAGACTAAAAGTTTTAAGGATGTTTAATTTTTTCATAGAATTTTAAATTTATGATCGAACTTACTTTTCCTCTACACTGTAATATAAAATAACTTTAATAATTAGAAGCATCTCGGAGTAAAAGGAAAGCCAAGCCACATCTTCATTATATTGCAGGAGGATATTTGATTTCACTTCCATCAAAATATCATATGCTTGCTGAGAAAAATCTATTGAAGATCGGAAAATAAAGAAATACAATTAATATTCACTAATGCTATGAATAAATGGTTAAGTAATAAATACATATCGATGGTCGTCTGCAATACTGCCACAATTAAAAAAAATAAAATCTTTTACTATTGATTTATTTTGGAACGAATTTCCGTCATCCCTTGTCAAGTTCGGTTTGCAGACAAACCGGTTTCAGCACTGTGCCATCTTCAGTGTCATTTTTCGTTCTGTCTGGTTCGAGTTTTTGTCCTTAATTTATGTTCATTTATCTTAGGTAATGTGATTTTCGTCGATGATTAATTATTAGAAATGTCATGGTGTCCTTTTTTATTTCAGAAGCAGGTAATAGGTTGGTAGGTTCGCTGTCTCGATATTAACATCCGTTATGTTGTCTCTGTATGGTTTTTGCCTGCAGGTCGGTAAAAGTCGGTGATTTTTGTCCTGGTGGTACTTTGTGGTGTGTTCGGAGTGTCCATGCCTGTTGCTTTGTTGTCATTTTTTCTTTTTCTCGTAAATTAATTTTAAGGGTCTTTTACTATTGTTAAGTGGCTCATGACTCTTATCCTTCTATAATCAATGTCTTAATCCTTACTAATCATAAGCCACTTAACAGTGGTGAGATTTTTTATTTTTCAAATTTTGAATTGTGTCGTTATTGCAGCGAACCATCGATATAAACTAATTTTTAAGATTTTACGGCAGTGATCGGCAGGGCATATATGAATATATCTCTAGAACTTTTGATTTTCAACATTTGAAAAAAATGTTGTGGCCACTATCCTAACCGTTTCACTTTATTGTTTGAACCTTGAAACATATGTAGGTATAAAAATGGAAACTCAGTTTTCAAGCTCGGTAATCCTACTAAATAATATTATAAATGTGAGAGTTTGTATGTTTGGAAGTTTAGTGCTCCATCACGCGGAAACGACTGAACGGGTTTGCATGAGATTTTGCACACAGATAGTTTATGACCTACATTGAAAAATATTCTACTTTTTTAGGAGTTGCCAGCTGCTAAAAAATTTCAATTGAATTAATAATCACGCGGAAAGCTATCTGCACCCTTGTCGTCCAATCATGGTTGCGTTATCGTCTCGCCCTGAAAGTTTGAGCCCAGCACATGCATTTCAATGGAGGTCTGCACACCTGTCGTTATCGGCTAGTTAGCAACAAATCGCAGAACACGCAGAAACGGATAAGCTCGACATTGTTGTTTGCTAATCGTTATGCACGCATTGTTTGTTTACATTTTATGGGAAAAAATTAGTGAAAAAGTTAATATTTGCATTAAAATTACAGAAATACTAATTTCTTGTATAGAATCTGTGGAAACTATTAAAAAGTGGATAAGTGCAATAAAATTCAATAAAAGTGAGAGTTTTAACTTTCAAATATGACGAAATTGTAAAAATTGTCTACGTGCGTGAACAAAATACATTTCAGAAAATAAAAGACGAGAGATTTATGATAAATTACGCCTAGAATTGTTGCAGCACAGTTAATAATTTTAAAATTGCAGGTTTTTGTAAAGACTGCGAAAATATTTACCAAAAAAACAGAAAATACCTGCTCTAAGCGAATTTTTAGACGCTAGTGAGTTGAAATATCACGGCCGAGTGTGCGGAAGGGTAGTCGTCATGTAATCGTTGCATCATGATTGTGACGATGAAACAACTATGATTAGACGACCAGTGGGCAGAAAGCCTAAGAGAGCTTGAATTCGAAGATATTTTTGAAGAGGGTTGCCATCCTACTAATATCACTGGATGGAATTTCGCACGCAGGTAGTTTATGACCTAGATTAGAAAATAGGCTACTTTTTTTAAAGTTTCCACCTGTAAAAAATTTAAATTAAATTAATAAGTTAATTAAATTAAATAATTTTAAGAGAGCTTAATTTCGAAGATATTTTTGAAGTGGGTGGTCAAAATAAATTTTCGCACATAGATGGTTTATGACCTGGATTGGAAAATAGGTACTTACTTAACCGCTTTCCCGATCAGAGCCAAATTGGGCACACTTACTACGGATTTCCCAAGGATAGTCTTAGACAGAAAATATTTACAATAAATCTAGAATGGTGACCCCTCCCAAACAAATTGGAATTTTCCATGAAGGTTGTGCATTCCCGAAACCGCTACTTTGGTTTCGCCGACTTTGACGTTTATGGCAATTCGTAAACAAACGCAAACGTATTGTGTACTTTCGAGTGAAAAATCGAAGTAATTCGTGCGTTCTAAAGTAAAAAACGTTTTATTTGTTATAAAAATGTCGTGTCGTGTGTTGAATTGCAGCAGCCGTAGGGGTGAAGCCCCCAAATGCAGTTTTTTTTGTTTCCCCGCGACGACGCCAGAAAGTGGGTAGAGTTCTGCCGGCAGGAGAAGCCATACAATTTAGACACAAATTACAAATTTACCACAAATTACAAATTTACCACAAATTACA